AACAGAATCCTTTCCTTAGTAGGCAATGTATTGGATCTCATGGAATGTATAATTAGTTCTACCGTTAAATCAGAAGCATAAAAAAACGTCGACAAGAAAATAACCCAATGCTCAGATCTATCTACCTAAAGGCCTAAGGACAAAGAACGCAATAAATACATCGAAAAAGTGTATATTGGAATCAAGTTTCAACAAAATACATGTTGGGAATTAACTTTGTGGATATCGAGGGGAAAGGGGAAGAAATCTTGAATTATTTATCGAGTAGCGAGGAGAAAATGGATGAGTTCGAGAGAGAACTTTCGAGAATCATCGGCTTGGAAAGTCTAAAGTCACAGCTCCGGCGTTGGGCCAAGCAAATGCTGATCGACGAAAAACGTCGAAGCCTCTCCATCCAAATTGGCCAAAGAAAACCCCCTCACATGGCCTTCCTCGGAAACCCTGGAACTGGTAACTAATTACTTTCCACATTTCTTTTAGTTTGTAATATGTGAATTAAATCAATAACAACTAGATATTCGTGAATTAATTAAATCAAAACACAAATTTTGAATTCAAGTCATCATATATGAAATACAGGTAAAACAACAATAGCCCGGCTAATTGGGAAACTCCTGCACATGGTTGGCTCAATTCCAAGCAATAAGGTTGTGGAAGTGCAAAGGACAGATTTGGTTGCAAAATACATTGGCCAGACAGGGGCACAGACAAGAGCAAAGGTAACTAACTAACTATTTTTTATATTATGAATAAAAAAAATTGTAAGTCAAAAATATAATAATATTTATATCTTGTGTAGATCAAGGAAGCCGAAGGCGGGATTCTATTCGTAGACGAAGCCTACCGCCTAATGCCGACAAAATTGCAGACAAACGATTACGGGAAGGAGGCTCTTGAGGAGATGATGTCCCACATGGACAAAGGCAACATAGTCGTGATATTCGCTGGCTACCGTGAAGAAATGCAGCGTGTGATATCCGCTAACCCGGGCTTCAGAAGACGTGTCACCAAGTTTTTCTACTTCGACGACTTCACTTGTCGGGAGCTCGCAAAAATCGCCCATCTCAAAATGCGTGATAATACGAGCCCTCTGTACGGCTTCAGGCTGCACGAGTCGTGCACTGTGGCGCGGATAGCCGAGAAGTTGAAGCAGGAATCCTCTGTGGAGCAGCGCAGGGAGATGAATGGGGGTTTGGTGGATTTGATGCTTGTTAATGCGCGAGAGAGTTTGGATGGGAGGATTGATGTTTCGTGTAAAGATATTAACACTTTGCTTACGATTACGTTGGAGGATTTGGTTGCAGGGCTTAGGTCGATGAAGGAGCATAAACACTTGATGAACAAGGATTTGACGGCCGAGATTAAACATGATTCGAATGAGGAGTTGGCAACAAAGAAGGTTTTGGAGGACTTTGCAGCCGAGCTTCGGTCGATCAAACGGCAGCAGCCCAAATTACATGACTCGGAAGAGGACTTGGCAACGAGGAAGGTATTGGAGGATTTGGCGGCTGAGGTACGGTTGATCAAAAAACAGCAGCAGCAGCCCAAAGGCTGCAATAAGATGAAGAAGAGGGGAGTGATGAGCTTTCTTTTTAATGATGATAATTGGGGACTTTCTCTTATTTTTTCATTCATTTGCTGCTGGTTGTTAGTGATTACTTTGATTTGTATGGATTTTCTTCGTAAACAAAAAATATCTCTGGTTTGAGTTGAGCTTTCATATATTGTAGTTTCTTATACCTATTTCAAGGTTTTGTGGGTGGAGCACTTTGGACTTTTTCTGTATTTTTTGTTATTTATATTGTATGTACAAAATAAATTGGTTTTATAATACAAATTAAAATTTTTTAAAAAGTTTAATTAGGTGTTTTGACAGACTTAATGTAGTTGGTCGACTTGAAATGATTATAATATAATGCTGGATATCTAATATTTGTTGGTCTTTGAATCGATTATCCGCCTTTCCCAAATGCTTATCATACTTACTTTAGTGTTGGGGAAATGGATTAGTCAATTTCTTCTGTAACTAAACTAAGGTATTGCGTCTTTCGTGATCGTCCCGACATAGTAACTACATAAACTATTCTTTCATAGTTATAAGCATCTTTTTTCCTCCTAATGCAGGTTTGGTGGACTTAACCAATGCATAATTTGTTGACATGTATATTATCAACTAGATCTCAACGGATAGAAACCATAATCCAGCATTCCGGGCTTTATTTTAAATTTTTCTTATTTGCCAGCTGTATTTTTTTTTTTTTTTTTTTTTTTTGCTGCGATCGAAAG